ATAAATAAATAAATAAATAAATAAAATTCTTCAATGGCTTTCCATTGTCCTAGACAAAGTCCAAATTCCATAGCCGGGCAGAAAAGATCTCTCAAAGTTGGGCCCAGCCTTCCTTCCTCTCCAGCCTCCTCCTTTTCCCTGGCCTTTCCCTGTCCATCACTCCCCCACCCCCACTCCAAACTCAGGCCCTGGTGAACAGCTTTCACAGCCCCCCACACAAGGCTCCCACCGCCAGGCCTCTGCATCGGCTCTGCCCTCCACCAGCCACATCCTTTCTTCCCTCCACAGCCCTCACCCCTCCGCTCAGCCCTGGTCAATTTTTGTTGCTGTTGTTTGCTTATTTTTTTTAAGATTTATGTGTTTATTTTAGAGAGACAAAGAGAGCATGAGCGAGAGGGGCAGAGGGAGAGGGAGAGAGAATCTCAAGCCGACTCCACGCTGAGCACTGAAGGGCCCCATCTCATGACCCTGACTGAGATCAGGACTTGAGCCGAAACCCAGAGTCAGCCGCTCAACCGCTTGCACCACCCAGGCGCCCCAGCCCTGGTCGGTTTTAATCATCTTCAGGTCTTATCCTTGCAAACCTGGAATTCCATCCTGACCACTCTCTCTCTCTCTTTCTCTCTGACCCCACGCAACATACAGTTGAGCTTTCTGTGTGTTTCCACAGCTTCTTGCCTTTCTTTCATTATATATATGCATAGACTATGGACCACAGACTATAGACTCTGGCCCTACGCTGCTTAAGTTCAAAACCTCACTCGAAGACTTAGAGGCCAAGTCCCTTGAGCAAATTACTTGAACTTAGTGAGCCTCGGTTTCTTCATCTGTTGTCGAGGTACCTACTTCATTGTCTTGTGACGTTAATGAATTTATTTGAGATTAAATGAATTCATACATTGAAAGGTATATAGTAAGAACTGCGTGAACTCTACATGTGAGACAAAAGTGTATGCTATTATTCTTTCTGTACATTTCACACTACGTAATTGCCCGGACTATAAGCTGTAGGGACAGGGAAGGGGCAGACACACACACTTGCTGATTGGATGGTAGTGCCTCTTTCTAATGTCTTCTGTTGTCCCACACTGCCTCACAGTGGCTGCCGTGCCTAGAGGGTAGAAAGTATCAGACAACTTGTTCTCCTGGGAGTTATTAATTACCATCAGCACAAGCAGGAAATTGTTCCTTATTTTCTAACTAAGGAAGCAAATGAGAGAAGATACACAAATGGCCAATAAACACATAAAAAGATGCTCAGCATCATTAGTCATTAGGGAAAAGTGAACCAAAACCACAATGAGATACCACTTCATACCCCCCAGGATAGCTAGAATAAAAAAGAAAATTACAGTTGTTGGGGGAGAATGTGGAGAACTAGAACCACTCATACATTGCCGGTGGGAGTATAAAATGGTGAAGCCACGTTGGGAAACAATTTGGCAGTTCCTCAAAAAGTTAAACACAGTTGCCAAAGGACCTAGCAATTCCACTCCTAGGTATATATCCAAAAGAAAGAAGCACATAACCACACAAAACTCTGTACACAAATGTTCATTGGCCAAAAAGTATAAGCAATACAAATGACCATCAGCTGATGAATGGATAAACAAAATATGGTACAGCCACACTGTGGAATATTATACATCCATTAAAAAGGAATGGAGTATTGGTCCATGCTACAACATGGATGAACCCTGAAAATATTATACTAACTGAAAGAAGCCAGATACGATTTACCACAAATTATATGATTACCCATAGAGATAGAAAGTAGATTAGCGGTTGCCTAGGGCTGAAGGGGAGGGGAGTGACTGCCAATGGGTTCAGCCTTTCTTTTTTGGAGTGATGAGAATGTTCTATAATTAGATAGCTGTGATGGCTGCATAAATCTATGAATATACTAAAACCACCAAATTGTATGCCTTAAATGGGTGAATTGTATGGTAGGTATGTGAATTATATCTCAGTAAAGCTGTTAAAAATAAAAAGCAACTGAAACAACAAGAAGAACGACCATTTCTAAGTACTTGCCTATGTACCACTTTGCATGCTAAACAGCTTTTGTATATTCACTGTCTGAAATTTCAAAAAAGGCAAGAGAGTCTACAAGTATTTTTTTAAAAAGATAACTTCTGGAATGAGCCTGCACAGCCTCGGGATGCTCTGCCTAGTCTGGTGATTCACTGAGAGACCTGGGTTTGTAACAAAGCCTTGGGGAGGAGAGCAGACTGTAGCTGGAGCAAGAGGTCTCTTAATCCTAAAGCTCAACTGGAGAGAAGTTGGGGACAGGTATTGTGACCGTGGGGCGGAGATGAGGGAAGGAATCCTGGGCATGATCCAGGGCCCCAGAGCAAAGCTGAGTGACCTGCTCTGGACTACCCCACACCCAGTGGCTGAAAAGGAAGGGCTGTAGTTCCTTCAAGCACAGACCCAAGCCTTGGACTGTCAGGGTTTTCAGTCGGACTCCACTTAAACAAGTTTCTTTCTTTCTTTTTTTTTTTTTTTTAAGGTTTTATTTATTTATTTGACAGAGAGAGACACAGCGAGAGAGGGAACACAAGCATGGGGAGTGGGAGAGAGAGAAGCAGGCTTCCTGCAGAGCAGGGAGCCCGATGCGGGGCTCGATTCCAGGACCCTGGGATCATGACCTGAGCCGAAGGCAGACGCTTAACGACTGAGCCACCCAGGCGCCCCCACTTAAACAGTTTCTTAGCCTCGGTGGCCTCAAATAACCTTACTGGCAAGATAATGGTACCTACCTAAGAGATCTGTTGTAAGAAATGAATGAGTTCACTGTAGGGAAAGCACTTAGAACTACCCTGGCACATTGTAATAGCTCTACAAATGTTAACGGCTGCTATCATCAGCTCATCATCACCATCATCATCATCTACTGCGAAAGGCATCATCTGACTCAAGGGGCCTGTCCAAAGGCCAGTAAAGGAGGTGGCAGACAGACATCAACATTTACTCTTGAGGTGGAGGTCTATTTGCAGAGTGGCCATTTTACACAGATTTCGCGTTGTGTGAATGCGCTGGGAGGACAGGAAGGACGGGATTTGTTCCAACCCCTCTGTGCCAGGTCCTATCCAAGACTCCAGTCCCGGGCGGGCGGACCAGGGGAGCGTAAGAACCGCCTGGTAGGCTCACCCCACGGCGGAGAGATTTAGGGTCGCTGAGCTTTTGGGTAGGAGGAGGGAGAGGGCGGGACGCGGGGTTCGCGGGGCGGAGCTGGGGGAGGTCCGTCGGGAGGGAAAGGCCTGTCGGGAGAGAGGGAAGCGGGGGAGCGGGCGCTGCTGCCTGGGAGGCCCGGCCCGGCGTCCGAGGCGCGGTACCTGGAGTCGAACTTCTGGCCGTCGGAGAACGTCCCCACGTAGTGGTAGCGCACGAAGTCGCCGCTGCGCACGGTCCGCGGGCACTCGTCGGGCACGAAGCGCCGCTCGATCTGCAGCTCCGTGTCGAGGCCCAGGCCCGCCACGGGGGCCGCCTGCCCCGTCACCCAGAGCAGCAGTAGCAGCAGCGGCGGCGGCGGTGGGGACCGCCAGCCCCTGGCCCTGAACGCCATCGGGGGGGGAGGGGTGGCGACGAGGAGAGCAGCGAGGGGTGGGCGTGGGGCGCGACGCGGAGCCGGCGAGGGCGTGCGGAGCTCGGGCGGCGCGGGTTGGAGCTGGGCGCGCTGCGGCGTTTGCAAACGTGGAAAAGAGTCCCGGCCCTCCCCGGGCGGCAGCCGCCGCCCCCTCTCCCACCCCCCGCCCCCCGGCAACATCCGAGCGAGGGGAGGAGCCGCAGCCGCGCGCCAGGGCTGGCCTACCGCGCCCCATGCCGCCCGGCCCTGCCCTGCCCTGCCCTGCGAGATGCCCGCCCCGGGAAGAGGGCTGGCAACTTCAGAGGGAACCTGTCCCCGAGGGAGAAATCGTGAACTCCTCCGGACGGGGCTTCGGCCCAAAGTTGGAAAAGAAAAGCGTTTACTGGGGCGCCTGGGTGGCTCAGTTGGTTAAGCGACTGCTTTCGGCTCAGGTCATGATCCAAGGGTCCTGGGATCGAGCCCCGCATCAGGCTCCCTGCTCGGCGGGAAGCCTGCTTCTCCCTATCCCACTCCCCCTGCTTGTGTTCCCTCTCTAGCTGTCTCTCTCTCTGTCAAATAAATAAATAAAATCTTAAAAAAAAAAAAAAGAAAAAGAAAAGCGTTTACTGCCCAGGCCGACTGGCGGGTCTCCGCCTGTCCCTGGAGACTCTCCAGATTTAGCACCACCAGAGGCTCCTACGTGGCCGCGGATCCAATTACTTCTGGCTGCTTTGAGAAGGGAGGGAAACTTAGATTATTATGTTTTTTTAACTTAGTTACAAGAATGGATTCTACATGAAAAAGACTGAAACCATTCTTCGGTTTTGGGTTTTTGTTTTCGTGTTGTTTTTTTTTTTTTTCAGGGTAATACTTAAAGAGAAAAGGGAGAGGCGTGTATTTTCAAACTCTCCCGATAGCTGTCCAGAGAAGGTTTTAAGTTACTGTGAATGTTCCCCAAGCCATTCGTGGATGGACTGTGAGCTGGTACTTAATAGCAAACATCTCGCATGGTCCCACATACGTGACTAAGCTAGGTAGGACTTCACAATACAGACCCCAAAGCCCCAAGAAATTCTTTAGAGTACTTAAATGAATTCTTAGCTTAGAATTGGTTGTTCTTATTTATTAAGATTTTGAACTAATGAAAGCAAATCACCAAGGGTTTCTCAGGGTCTTTTGGAAGCAAACTATCCTGATACCAAAGCCTGGCAAACACAGGGAGAGAGAGAGAGAGAAACTGGGCACCAATCTAATTTATAAATATAACTACAAAAATAATAAAATGTGAGCAAATTGAATTCAACGATTTATTAAGGGAATAATACACCATTATGTGGACTAGTTCCTAAGTAGGTGACCTTCTGCAAATTAATAAACAGTCTCAGTGTGCTTTGTAAGATGAAAACATGGTAATTATAATTTTAGATTTCATTAGATCCCAGGATCTAATGAGAAACTACATGTAGCACTAAATAAATGTCCGTTGTTCCTAATAGAACTAATTCTATGGAAATAGAAAACCTATTAAAATAATTAATCTTATTAGCACTGGCTATAAGCTGTTGAATTTGGGGTAATGATTTGCTTTCTTCTTTGTATTTTTCAGTGTTCCTTTATGGTTTTTAATGACTGTGTCACATGTTTATTAAAATGATCCAATTTTACACAGAAACAAACAAGTCAACCTGGTTCCAGTCAGAAATCTTCCACCCCCTTACTGTGACTGTGGATGACACACGCCACCTGTCTGGGCCTCAGTGTCTTCTGTAAAATGAAGCGGTTGATTTCTAAGACTTCCACGAATTCTAAAATCCTATGATACTGCGAGAGAGAAAACACTCTAGGACAGTGAGGAAGACATGTAGGAAGAGAGGCTGAGTAGTGACTGCCACTTCCATTTTGCCTTTTAGGGTTTCCTAGTGCTTTGATTTCTTGTCATTCTTTAAAAAATGTTAATTAGCTGATCAAACAGTATGTGTGCTCTTCAACATCTCTAAATCCCAACAGACTTCTTTGCATTGGATTTCTGTAGCAATCTACCAAAGAGAAAATTTACCTCTTGGCTTTAGTGACAGCATTATCCTAAGAACTAATTAAGGGGACCCTGGGTGGCTCAGTTGCTTAACTGTCTGATTCTTGATTTTGGCTCAGGTCATGATCTTGGGTCGTGAGATTGAGCCCTGTGTCTGGCTTTTGCTGAGCTGAGTGTGGAGTCTGCTTGAGGTTCTCTCCCCCTTTCTCTCTGCCCCTCCCCCCTTGCGTGCACACCCTCTCCCCACTCCAAAAAAAAAAAAAACTAATTAAAATCAAGTTGAAACTTTTTTTTTTTTGAAGATTTATTTATTTATTTTAGAGAGAGACAGAAAGGGGTGGGAGAGGGGCAAAGGAAGAGGGAGAGAGAGAATCCTCAAGGGACTCCCTGCCAAGCATGGGGCCTAACGCAGGGCTCAATCCCAAAACCCTGAGATTATGACCTGAGCCAAAACCAAGAGTGGATGCTTAACTGACTGAGCCACTCAGGCAACCCTGAAACTTTATATTTTTTTTAAAGCTGTATTTATTTAAGTAATCTCTACACCCAATATGGGGCTTGAGATCAAGAGTCACATGCTTCTCTGACTGAGCCAGCCAAACGCCCCCAAGCTGAAATTTTAAAAATTATTTCCGGGGTGCCAGGGTGGCTCAGTTCATTAAGTATCTGCCTTCAGCTTAGGTCATGATCCGGAGTCCTGGGATCAAGTCCCCCACGGGGCTCCCTGCTCAGCCGGGAGTCTGCTTCTCTCTCTCCTTCTGACCCTCCCCCCTGTTCATGTTCTTGCTCGCTCTCTCCCTCTCTTTCTCAAATGGGTAAATAAGAAATCTTTTTTAAAAGTGATTTCCACTGAGTTTTGGGGGCTGACTTTGTAAGGACTTCCCAAATCTAAAAACTGAATCTGTAGTCAAGAAGAGTCATCAAGTAGACTAAAAGCTCAGAAAGATAAAGATGAGGGGGAAGAGGTGAGTGGGCGTGAGACAGGGAGGAGAAAGAAAGGGAGGGTATTGGGTTTAAAAAGTAGGGCTTGGGTAAAATCTTTAAAAAAAAAAAAAAAAGGTGCCTGGGTGGCTCAGCTGTTAAGCGTCTGCCTTCGGCTCAGTTCATGATCCTGGGTCTTGGGATCGAGCCCCACATCGGGCTCCCCGCTCCGCGGGAAGCCTGCTTCTCCCTCTCCTGCTCCCCCTGCTTGTGTTCCCTCTCTCGCTGTCTCTCTCTCTGTCAAATAAATAAAATCTTAAAAAAAAAATAAAAAGTAGGGCTTCGTGTGGGGGCTGGTGGTGAGAGAGAAAGTAAGAAGGGAAAAGTAGAAGATGAGAATCAATGAGAAAATAGCCAGCAAGCAAGAAATGTGACACAATAAAGAAAAGGACAGAATAAGAGAAACATCCAAAAGGTGTGAGGCCACTGGAGGTGTGAATCAGCATGGAGGAGGAGGAGAAGGGAAATCTGGAAAAGGGTAGATCTAGGTGAAAGTCAGAAAACTAGGTTCTGTCCTATCCCCTCTATACAGGAAATTGAAATGTTATCGGGAAAATCAAACAAGCTGGGCAGTAAAGAAAGAATTCCACTTTTCATTGAGCCTGAAATAAAGGAAGTCCCATGAATCAGATCTTCCAAGAGCAGTAAACCCTGGAGGCTAAGCTAAGTAAGTTGTTAATTTTAGCTTGGCACACACTGAGCAGGGATAAAGAAAAGGCCAGCATTAAGGAAAACATCCCTGGAAAGTCCATCGGAACTGGCCTGAGGCAAATGTGAAGCGAGAGACATTTGCTTCGAGCAGCGTCCTCTTTCCTTCCCTCCCCAGGAGTTTCTAACAAAGTATCCCACTTGCCTTATTTGATAACACTCCTGGAATTACCATGTGCTCTGATGAAAAACCCTAGAAGAGAAATCAGACCACCTTGACTGTAGGGTCACCCATCCCCGTACTCTCCAGCACTCATCAGCGTTCTCATCTGTAAAATGCCTTGCCTACCTCCAGGGAATTTCTGTGAAGGTCAACTGAAGCAATATATGAGGGATGGAAATCTGCAAAATACTATGTAAATGTGAGGAATCGCATTTATCTATGAGTAATAGAAGACCCAACACAAAATCTTTTAACACAAAAAGAAATATACTATCTCTTAGAATAGGAAGTCTGGATGGGAAGCAGCTCCAGGACTGGATTGAACAAGTGTCTCTAGAACATCCTCAAGAGCTCAAGTGTCTCCCCTCCTCAGTCATCCTCGGATTTCACTGTTGCCCCCTCATGGCTGCCCCAGATCCAGGTACCACATGCAAGGAGAGCCATCCTGAAGGAGAAAGTATCATTTATTAAGATCATGGAGCTTTCTATAAAGCTCTCTCCTCTGATGAGACCTCCCGTCATGTCTCATTGACTAAAATTGTATCATGTGTCCGTCGCTAAACCAATCAATGGAAAAGGAATAGGATTACTATGATTGCCTTAAGACTAACCAAGATTCACCTCCAGAGAGGATGGAAGGAGGTCTCTACTCTCCAACCAGCATCCTCCGAAGCAGACAGCTACCTTAGACTCCTGAACAAAATCAGAGTGTTATTGGCAAGGAAGAGAAGGGGGGATGACAACTGGGTTGGCCACCAACCAGGTTTGCCACAGATTAGCAATTACATTTGGTGTCCCAGCTTCTTCCCTCGGTCTTCTCTACCTGTAAGCCTCCAATTAAGCACATTGTCTGCCCTTTTCCTTCCAATCCTACTAGCTACTAAACTGTTAATGGAATACCAGTTAAAATTATTAGAAATAGGGGCACCTGGGTGGCTCAGTCGTTAAGCGTCTGACTTCGGCTCAGGTCATGATCTCAGGGTCCTAGGATCGAGTCCCGCATCGGGCTCCCTGCTCGGCGAGAAGCCTGCTTCTCCCTCTCCCACTCCCCCTGCTTGTGTTCCCTCTCTCGCTATCTCTCTCTCTGTCAAATAAATAAATAAAATCTTTTAAAAAAAATTGTTAGAAATAATACAGGGTTTCTCACATGTTTCCATTGTGCTGCAGAGAATTGCGAACTTGTACCCCTGGGGGCTTCCTGCCTACTTTACTATGAGAATTCTTTGAAATCTGGTTTTTGGTTTAAAAAAAA